ACAAACTCCGTTAATCGCAGTTTGTACATTGTTTCCAGACTATCCCAACCAGTTCCCATTAAGACATCTTCAGCGTTAGTGTCCCATGGCAACCCATATACAGTCAGTCCAGCCCTTGAACTGAGATGTGGTCAGGTCATTAAACTATGGTCAGCAAAACAGAAAACCTGCACCCTTCCAACTTAAACTCAATCAGTCTTGCCCAAAGAAATAAAATATTTTGCCCTTATAATTCCTTGATTTGGGGCAATGGAATTGGGTTGATGTGTGTTTTTTGCAACTAATACTGAGATGATAGCATGTGTACAGTTTCCCCTTCCCCACAGAAAAAATTGCTGTACACACGCTATTGAGATTATTGAACTGGCATGTCGTCATTGAACTGACTTCTGTTAAAAATAGACGTGCGTGAGCTATTTTGAATGCTTCAGTGTATCAGTATCGGCAGTCTACTCTTCTAATCCTAGATTAAGGCTATGTTTTGTGCGAAATTGGGTATAGCTGCACCTCAATGAAAATGAGAACCGCTGCGTATAGTTGATTCGATCCTCATACTATAGATTCACTTTTCTGTCTTTCCTTCAGACATCTGGTGCAAAATAAACAAATTGTTAAAGGACTATGAATATCAACTCACCAAACATTGTTTTAATAGAGGGAAGACTCGAATGTTTCAAGGTTTCTTCATGGTTTCTTAAAATAATGAAGCTCATCGAATACCGAATAGCTAAGAAATGTCACGATTTTCATCATTGTTGTAGATGGTTGTATCATCATTATTCACGAGGTTGTCACGTGCGATTTCACTTTAATGAAACAGTCTTTGACTTTGACGACTTAAGGTGACTCGACCCAGTTTTTGTTTTCTTAGGGGGGGGGATACTATCCTACTTTGAAGCTCTCTGGTATCCCCACCTTTACTTTTATCGTAAGTCTAACACATAGAATGGATAACGTATAGATCAATCTACAATATAACATAAAATTTTTGGTGATCGGAGTAAATGTCACGTGGTTATAATGCCACGCCCCTTTGAGGTCTGAGTCGAAAATCTGCTGTTGCCGGCATTTTGTCGTGAAAATCTCTCGGCTAAACATAGTCCGCATTAGTGCCTTGCGCTGAACAGAGTTTCACCAAGATCGCAAAGACCCAATTCGAGAAATTCAGCGGTTTCCAAATTTAGGTCATAATTTATGCGAAAATGATAAGCAAACTTTACACGATTATATCTAATAAACTATGAGATTCGTCCCTTTATTTTGGGGATCGTTATAACAGATGGGTCCTTGCAAGTCAGCAAAAAGCTTTAGGGCCTTGTAAATGCGCGCGATTTCGAGCAAAGCAAACATATACAAATTATAGTTTTAGCTATTTGTTGACGTTTGTCAACGTTGAAGGGTCCTTCTCACGAAAAAAGCATTTTCTTAAAAATTCGTAGTTTTTTTTTCCTTCAAATTTTTTCAGGGCCTCAATTGATTAACTAACTACCCGGACTTTTAATTTCATGGTCATTGAAAAACTGTGACGTTATCTTCTATAAGCCCAAACTTGAGTAAACGTTGGGTCTGTTTGCACATAGCTTAAAGTTTCACCGGTTTCAAACTTTGCGCAACAACTCCCAACAACACGCATCAAGATGCAACAGGGAGTAACGCTGGTATTCCATTTTCCTTTCACACAGGTGGTGAATTGTGAACCATTTAGTTGATAGTGACTGTTACATTGAAATTCAACAGTGGAGCCATATCTGAAATCGTTTCCTCTGACTATTCCATTTTTAAGCGGTCCTGGGTCTTTACATAAACCTTAGAGGAGATAGATAGATAGATAGTTTATTTGTAAAAAGCTTGCAGCTACTAAGCTGAATTGTGTATTTACAATATAATATATAATATAATATAACAGAATCTTACAATAGTGAGTATAATAAAATGATAATGATAAAGTCCTAAATAAATAATAACATCCTATAAATATAAAAAAAGCTTAAAACTGTTAAAATATATACAACGTCATCGATCTCATTTACAAAACTCACCGAGCGCTAAAATTCGTTATCAATACATGATCTTACTAAAACACTATTTTTCAAACGCTCGGTCTTACATTTGGGAATCGCGGAACGCCTTTTGTACCGAAGATTATAACACGACGGCCCTGAAGATTGAAGTATGTTATGTAAGCGATGCGCCGGGTCATTAGCAATCGAGAGGAAGGTCTTTTTACATAAGCTAGCGATGTAGTCATTGATAGACATAATATCTGAAAGCTCTAAGGCCTTTCTATAGGCCAGTCCCGGGCAAATGATTGATAGTGCCAGTTTCTCTACATTCTCTAGATCTTTCTTTAAATAAAAATGGCAGGGCGTAGAAAAACGCAGGCGATGCGTAGGTCATGACTGACCTTATACAAGATGTATAAAGAAGAATTAATTCATGCCTTGAGACATTGGCCCTTTCCAATTGTATTAGGAAATACATACGTTTAGAAGCTTTCTTTATGATTTGATCAATGTGCATATTCCATGTAAGGTTGTTGGAGATCGTAACACCTAGTAATTTGGCGCTTTCAACACATTCTAGCTCTTGATTATTTCTTACTATAGGCGCGAGTTGTGGTTTGTTCTTTGCAAATGAAATCCTAAGCTCTTTAAATTTTTCACTGTTTAGTTTTACTCTGTTCTCAAAAGACCACTGCACGACAGTATCTGCAATCAATTGGGAATTGCTACTGGCTCCTTTCACAACGATCTCGGATGTAGTTGTATCATCAACATACTTCCAGATATTGCCTGCATTATTGATTTCTAGATCGTTGATGTGCACCAAAAACAACCACGGGCCTAGTTTCGTCCCCTGGGGTACCCCGGATGAGACTAATCCCCACTCGGAGTAACATCCCTCTGAGAGTTTGATTCTCTGGGAACGATCACTTAGGAAATCTATGATCCAATTGATTATTTCAGTCGGCAGATCTAATTTGCCTAAGTTATTAACAAGAATCCTATGGTCTATGGGATCAAAAGCTTTCTTATAATCATAGAGTGTAACCCTAACAGTTGCTCCGTTGCCATCGCATCCCTTGGTCCAATGGTGAAGCATGTGTATAAGTGCTTGAGTTGTGGAGGACTTCGGCACAGCGCCATACTGGCTTGGGTCGAGAACATTAAGTACTCTTCAGCAACTTTCGAAAGACAAGGAGTGAGAGAAATCGGCCTTAGGTGCTTCTTTAGATCCTCCACCGCTGTTCTTTAAACGAAGAATTGATGATTTTAGAGACAGGGAAAGCCAACAGCTAAGCATACTCTTTAAGAAGCCAGTTAGGTATTTCATCCGGGCCACACGCCTTTGATGGACTCAGTGTACCCAGCAGCTTCATTATCCTCAGCTCCGATACCTCATGTAGCTTTGGCGATTCAGTAGGGACGGGGAACTTGGTCAGCGGTTGTTCCAAGCGATATTCTTCGAGTGGTTTAAGGAAAGCCTGATTAATGATGTTTGCAAGTTCCTGGTTGTTAAAATCCTCAAGTTCTTCGATGTGGGTGTGATTGATGACATTGCCCGAGTTGGATAGTAGTTATCGAAACGGGTATTGCGGCGCACTTTTTAAGTCCAATTAATCAGAAAATGACGGAAGTTAATCAGAAAATGAAAAGTAATTTTTACACGAAAATCCCCCCATATGCAACAAATTATAAAAAAGAATATCTTTACATAAGAGGATTAAATAAGGAATTTAAGTATTTTTATAATCACCTTGATGAGATAAATGATGGATTATTTAAGAGTAAAAGATCTGATAGATTATGTTATTTAATTAAAAGATTTTTGAGAGGACAAGAAAAAGGTAAACTTAAGGATATTAGTGATTTTGTGATTTATGAGGATGATGTTGATTATTTGATTAAAATTAAAAGAGAATTTTCTTATTATAAAATACGTTACGATGCTTTAAAAGAAAATGATGATGGTTACTACTACAATGATGATAGTGATGATGATTTTGCTGATGATGTTGATGATCCTTATCCTGGTTTTGAAAATATTTATTACTATTTTGAATTATTTTTTAATAAGCTTAATATTGAGTATGAAGATAGTGATAGTGATGAAAACGATAGCGATAGAGAGGAATTAGATCTTTCATATACTGACAGTGATCTTGAAGATTTTTGTAATCATTTGAATAGTTTTTTCTCTTAAACTTATAATATTTTTGTTACAAGTTTTAAAAAATGAATTAAAGAATAAATAATTTAAATTAATAAATGGATGATTTTAATATAGGTAGAATTTTTACAATTCATTTTCCTGGGAAAAAAGTTTATATAGAAAATACTTGTAAATCATTATATGACAAAATGGAAGATATTAAAAATGATAAAGATCATAAATTATATTTGTTACTCAAGGATTATCCAAATCCAGAAATTAGAGTTGAGTTTTATAGAGGTAAACTTTGTAATAAAAAGTTAGTCGCTTCAAAATATTTAAAGGATAATTATAAAATACTAAATGTTAATGTTTTACCTTATAGTTATAAACCCAATATATAAAATGGAAGATATGGGTTATAAAGTTGAGGTTGGTTGCAAAGAGAAAAGAAGAAAAAAAACAATTTTTGAATCAATAAAAAAATTAAAGGAAAGTGGTGATGATGATAAGATTATTTATGCTAAAAATTTGTATAGATATTACTGTATTCTTAATAGTTTAGGTTTTATTTTAAATCCAAAGCAAATTCCTTTTGATGAGGATAAATATGGAATACATTATCTTTGTAGTTATATAGAGGGTATTGTTAATACTGCAAAGATGAGTATTGCTGGAGTTATTGAAGCTATTGGAAATGATGAGCCACTTGATCCTTTTTGTAAATATCTTATGTTTACTCATATGTATACTCCAGAGCAAGTAAAAGAAATAGGTCATGAAGAAATATATAGAAGGGAAAAAAAGTTTGAAAAAGAATTAGGTTTAGTATAATCAATTAATAAAAAATGGAACCAAGATCAAGAGAAACTACTCCTAAAAAAGAGGAATTAGATTTTATAGTTGATGATGGTTATAGACATGATGTGGATCCAGATTATGTTCCGGATGAAAAATATGTTGTTACAGGAAAAGAGTTTAAAAAACTAACCAGAAATGCTAAAAAGCTTGGTGCTGAATCGCTTGATTATTCAACCCGAAAAAATAACAAATACATGGCCACACTTCCAGGTGGAAAGAAAGTTCACTTTGGATCGCCAAAATATCCAGACTACACTATTCACAAAGATAAAGAAAGAAGAAATAAATATCTTTCTCGAGCTAAAAAGATAAAAAATAAACAGGGGGAGTTAACTTATAATAATCCAGAATCACCTAACTATTGGTCAATTAATTTACTTTGGCCTAAAAAATGAAATTGATTTATTTTTAAATTATAGTTTAAAGATTAAATTACTATTAACAAAAATGCAGTTGTCCAAATACGAAAATATTACTCAAGAAAATATTATTTTTAATAAAACAAAAGAGTATAAAGTCAAAGATACTAATATTAAATACAAACGTAATAAAATTGAAGTCAATTATCCAAATGGTAAAAAAGGACCATTAGTAGTTGAAACTCCACTTCTTTTTTCTTTTGGAGTAAGTGAAAATCAAGATCAAAAAACAGGTAGATTAAATGGTTACTCAGTTCCAGTATGTCTTTGGGAGCGAGATGGTGTACCGAACACAAAAGAATTATCATTTTTTGAACTTATAAATAATATTAATTTAATATGTCAAAAACATTTAGAAGAAGAATACGGACCAGATTTAGCATCATCTCTGTCTTCTCCATTTTATTTTAAAACTATTACTTACAATGATAAGAAAGGAAGAGAGAAAACAAAAAAAGATGATTCATCAGCACCAATTCTTTATGCAAAACTTATCTACTCTGAAAAATCGAAGAAAATATTATCTTTGTTTAAAGGTAAAGGAGGAAGGGATTTAAATCCTTTAAAATATCTTAATCAATACTGTAATGTTAAATTAGCATTAATAATAGAAGGAATATTTATAAGTAAAACTGTGACATCTTTACAAATAAAAGTACATGAGTGTTATGTTAAAGAATTAGAACCTAGAAAGAGTTTACTTACGATTGAAGAAAAAAGTAGTGATAGTGATAGTGATAGTGATAGTAAAGGTGAAGAGATAACTGATAAATTAGTTGAAGACTTACTTTTATCTGATGAAGAAGAAAATAAGTAAATAACTAATTTTTAATGCAAATTTTGTATTAAAAATCAACCAAATCCTTCAAACTTACCCATGAGTTAAATTTATCAGGATATCCACTCCATTTCACTAATGCCATTTTTTTCTTATTATCCCTCCTGATAATCTTTTCTATTCTAAATGTTTGTTGTTTTGCTTTCTGTAATTCTTGCTCGTAGAAAGAACCTTTAATCTCGTCTCCCACTAAATCCACAATGTTATATGTAATAGGTTTTGTTGGTAAAACTTTATCAATAACAAATATCTCCTCTGTCCAGTTTGGTGTGTAACCTTTATCAAATACCTTTCTCTTATACTTAAAAATTCTAACACGATCACCAACCACAAATTTTGGTTTACCAGGTTTCAAGTAAATAGAATCGCCATACAAATTAGACCAAACTTTACTTTTATTTTTCTTTTTACTTGCTTCAACAGGAGTCATTTTTATACTAGAATGTCTCGCGTTATTGTAATCATTAACTAGTTTATCTAACTTATCCCAGTAAACAGTGTTGTTATTAACTGTAAACATTTTCCACATTCTGTTTTTCATTGTTTTGTTCCATCTCTCAACAACACTAGATTTTTCTTCGTTTTCAGTGTGATACAAATTGATTCCCTCTCTTTTCAAAAAATCTTTGAAATGTTTACTAATAAACTCAGAACCTTTATCTCTCCATAACAACCTTGGTTTACGTTTACTTTTGAATATGTCCTCAAATGCTTTACTAACAGTTTCAGTTTTCTTATCTTTTAATCCCCTAATCCAACCATACTTGCTAAACACATCAATAACCATCAATAAATATTTAATCCCTTTGTTCCACCTACTAAACTTTTGCATTTCAACTAAATCAGCAGCCCAGATTTCATCAATCCCGTTTGAGACTACTAATCTCTTTTGAAAGTTTCGTGTGATTGGTTTGTGAAGTTCGTCGGCTAATTGTTGAGACCAATCACTACTCAACGCCGACGCGCGTTTTTTTGAATACCAAGACCAAGTTTTTGTTTTGTATTCATAGCTGTTCTAGCCAACCAATGACCCCATTGTCTATTTTTCCAAGGAATTGCATCTAGTGATTTTACCATTTTTTTATCTGCAGCATGTTTGCATTTTAATTGTTCACTTTTGGGAAGGTTTCCACAAACTGTGTAATCTGCATCATGTTGCATACTAACTGCATCTGTTGGTCCTGTAGGTTGTTGATAGATTTCTAATATATTTCCCTCAGAGTCATGTATAAGTTGGTCCTCAAGAGGATTTCCAGGTCCAGTATAATTATGACCTGGTAAAGTTAATCCTTTATAAGGTGCAACTTTTAGTATTTGTTTGTGAATGTCAACTCCTCGTCCATCAGTTTTATATTTATTTTTTGGTCTCACTTTTGTTGATAGTTCATCCATAGCTGATCCAACAGAATCTTGAATAAATGGAGTGAGTTTGTTAATTCCATAATTTACAGCTTTCTTCTGAATATCTTTATTGGACATTAACTCACTTGCTCCATATCGCCCCATTTCAACTGCTTTCTTACCCATCCAAGGTAAACCGTAATGAACAAAACCATCAACTGCTGTACCAACAATAGTATCAAAAACGCCCGCCCCTTTAGACGGGCTGATTAGTTTTTTGACTTCTTTTTTGTTTTTCTCTTTTTACCACTTCCAGTTTGAGAAGCTGTTCCAGTTTTCACATATCTAACGTTTTTATTTCCACAAACTGCACATCTACAAAAGAATTGAGTTCGCCCTCTTTTATCAGTTTGATAACCACTTGGCTCTGTGCAAGGAGTTACTCTTTTATCTACAATACAATATGATTCTTTCTTTTAATATAATGTTTAGATAAAATATGACTACTAGATCTATTTTTGTTAAAAGTGAACTTGACAATATATTATTTACCCTTGTAAAAATTTATTAGCGATCGCTGTCAAAATCGCGTAGCGTTTTTGGCCGGATTTCGCGGCACGATCGCTGCGTTATTCGCGGAGCGATGGGAGCGATCGCGGCGCGATCGCTGTCATCAATCGCTTAGCGTTTTTGGCCGGATTTCGCGGCGCGATGAGAGCGATCGCTCAGCGATCGCTGTCGTCGATCGCTTAGCGTTTTTGGTCGGATTTCGCGGCGCGATGAGAGCGATCGCGCCGCGATCGCTGTCATCAATCGCTTAGCGTTTTTGGCCGGATTTCGCGGCGCGATGAGAGCAATCGCGCCGCGATCGCTGTCATTAATCGCTTAGCGTTTTTGGCCGAATTTCGCGGCGAGATGGCAGTGATCGCTCAGCGATCGCTGTTGTCGATCGCTTAGCGTTTTTGGCCGAAGTTCGCGCCGCGATCGCTGTCATCGATCGCAGATGGTTTTCGGCCGAATTTCTCGTTGCGATCACGGTCCGGACGAAAAAGACATAAATGAGTATTTCTTATCTCAGAAGAAGAGCAGTGAGCTGAAATTTGTCCTGAAAGTTGCAGTAACATTTTACTAACTTGTGACAAACGGAGAGCTTCTGAGCTTTGCCGAAAATCGTGCATCATAGAAAATGAGCGCTTCGTTTGAAAGCCCCTGGTCCGGCCAGTGGTTCCGGCCACTTTGGCTACTTTAATTGGAAGCCGACATTAAAAGTGCGTAAAAAGAAACCTTCCAAGCACCATCTGATCTAAATTCCTGTATAATTTTTATAGGCTGCTCACTTAAAATTCGAAACCAAACTGAGATTTCTGTGTAAAGAGCTAACGTTTGGTCTCTCGAAGAAACTAAACCGTGAAAAGGTCAATTCGCCACCATTTTAAATGAATTCAATCAAAGTTTAGAGGGAAAAAATATTTGTCGTCGCTTGTTTACGTCCTCAAGAAACACCTCCCATCACAAAATGTTGTCTAAGGGCCTGTTTACATGGAGTGGGGGACCTCGGTCTAGTGGGGTAAGTTTCTTTTGTTTTCACGCTCTGGGGGACACAAAACAAAAGAAACTTACCCCACTAGACCGGGGTCCCCCACTCGACCGGGGTCCCCCACTCTATGTAAACAGGGCCTTAGTCATGCCGCGACCGAAAAGCGTGCGTCATAATGCACGTGCAGAGTAATGTTTTCCTTGTTAGGCCCATTGCTTGCCAAGTTTTTTGACTTTGCTAAATGCTACAGCTCCCAAATGAAATATAAGTTTCATTTTATGGCCTTCTATATCACTGCTTAATAAATAAAGTGCAGTGTTACTGGGAAATTTTCAAACAGGCTTTCCCTTTTCAATCACTATTTGGCTAGTTTGGCCGGACCAAGGACAAAAGTACGCAAAATTTATTTTGGAATATTATCTAAACTTTGGTTTTAAAATTCAACCAGTCGACCGAATTTTTTTTTTTTGCAAGTCGAAAGAACATTTCTTGTACGCCGTGTACACCAAAAATTAGCTTTCTTAACACTTAATTGCATATACCTGAACTAAAAATGCATCCAAGTAATTTAAGGCGCCATAAAAAAAGCAAAAATAACAGAACAAAATTCACCTACGACAATCGAGCTTCAGAAGGCAAACAGATCAATAAAAAATCGGAAAGTTTCGTTTGTAGTTTAACCTTATTTTCTTCCCGAAAATTACGTACATCACAAATTAAAACGGGCCGGAACTTATCCGAACTTATACGAACTTATCTAGGAAAGATCGAAGCTACTCAGTCTGCAAGCAGGGTAGTATAAATCATGTCAAGATAAAGCTAAATTTTCAACTTAAACGGGTCTAAATAGGGAATGAATTTTCAAAAGAAAGGTCTTATGTGAGAGTTCAGTGAATCGTTTTTTTTATTTTTAGCTAAGTGTGAGCAGAGTAAAACGTTTTATATCCTGAAGTATTGAGATAATGAAACCGCCTATATGCATTGATTTCTTTTCTTTTGATCCACTTGTCCATGTCTTCAGATAGGTTCATCCTATTAGGGATAAAAATATTTTTTCTTTTTTCCTCACGCTAATGATATGTTTCATGTTCATTTACCGTGCTTAAATATTCTCACTGAAATTCTCCATACTTCTTTATTAAGCCAATTTAATGTGACGTCCCACATGTTTTGTCTTCAGCCTAAACGTTAACTTTGAAATTTACACAATGTACAAACTGAGTACTCACAACTGTTGTCTTTGCCAGATTAATTGTTGCTGCAGAATATTCAAGAGGCCATCATGGTTCTTGGTATATTGCCATGTTTATGCCCCACAGTACGTCCAGAGCGGTTTTTCTGTTGAGAAATTAAAACCAGTTAACCAAGAGAGTTATTCCCGAAATCAGAGTATTGATATATTCAAATCAAGACAAATCACTGAGTTGTCCAGCTCAAGTAGCTTAAGACTTACACCCCTCGAAGGATATAAAAAAAATGAGGTAAAAAACGAAGGCTCCAAAATCAGAAGTTTTGCTTTCTCGAACTATTAAAAGGTAGCTCGAATTTTTTTAGCTTTTGTTTGTTTGAGAAGCCTAATAAAAAGGCTAACCTTAATTGTGTTATAAACTATGAAAAGTGCCGGAAAGGATAAAATCGGCAACACCGAATGAATATCAAGCTTAACCTTAATTAGGTTTAAAATTAAACTTAGTGATAATAAGAAGTGAGTAGACTTACCTTTTTAAGTACGTTTCTTTGTTTGAACTTTCAACATGTCAAAAGAATCATTAAGAAAAATTTTCCAATGTTTAAACAGCAATAAACGGCCATTGCTAATTGCATGACAAGTGAAATTGAGAGCAATTTTTTTTTTCAAGGTGCGCGTCAGCCTTGAATCTTGGCCACCCGCGTCGCAGTGGCGGGAAATCGGATTTTGGAATCCAGTCCCCAAGGGCGCGATCCATTCAACCGAAATTTCCCGAATATTTCGGTCCAAAACTCAATGGATCGGTTCGGTCCAACCGGAAAAGTTTCGAAAAAACGGGTCCACCTTTTTAGGTGGACCAATTTTCCCGGTCGGACCGGTTGGAATTTTGGTTGAATGGATCGCACCCCAATACTCTGGATTAAACCGTCACGTACATGCAGGATTCATTTCTGTTATTAAGGACCATTAAGTAAAAATCATGTTGATTACATCCTTATATACAGCAGTTTAAGGCCTGGAGCGTAACAGAAATTCATCCTTGGGCTTAAAATGACTCAATAAGAGGTGAGCGAGAAAAGGTTTCCTAGCTTTTTGCTAATGTAACTCTGGTCAAAAACACAAGGAAAACCGTGCCTTCTCTAGAAACCGATAAAGTTCTAACAAACTGAAAATGACTGTTATTATAAGCTCATAGTTTTTCCGAATGTTCGACCTCCCCGATATTGATATATTTCTGTAGTCTTTTAGTTACTTAACTTTCCTGTGTTTTATTATAATATTATTACTATTTTGCCTGCCCTAATAATTTTCACAATCGCAAGTTTTGAAGAACAACATAATGGAATATAAAAATAAAATAATATGCCCGGCAGCCGGGAAGGGTCTAAGCTGCACGGCAGTCAGAATGTTTTTTTGATTTTCTTCAAAATCCCTTTTTCTAAGTATAATCGTTTGAAAGTATTATATCTTCGTTTAGAATTACCAAGGGATTAGGAAAACAGTAATGGCTTAGCAGTAGAGAGGTTGTGGTTTCTTGCGCATAGAGCCTGAGAGTCGACGCCGTTTCAACACTTAGAAACATTCGAGACTCACGAGCACGTTTTCGCACAGGCAGTAAATATCCGGCAGTTTGAAAGCCATCTGGAAAGTTAGAAAGCCTGTTAGTAAGCCAAAGGATGCATACTAGCCTCGATTATTTTTCCAAAGCAACAACGAAAATATTAAGTGCTTTCATTATGAAACCTTAGAGTCAATGCACTGTGTGAATCAACTAACGTGTGAAAAAAAAGGGCGCAAAGGCAAACGCAGTGCGAATTACGGCCCATAACCAAACGGGAAAGGCGGTCCCTGATAACACCAAATTAAATTTAGCCAGTTATACAAAAAAAAAAACTAACGAGTCACGAACGATAAGGAATAACAAGACGAGCTAGTAACCAGACTAAAAGGGGCGTAAAAGACGTGAGAGCTCAAACAGAATAATAACCATACGACTAACTTATAACAGAAATCGCGACGATAACTGTGATCCTCGGTTATCTCCTTCGCGATAATGGCACTGAGATTGCGGACGCGAACTTAATTAGAATTGATCGTGATCACCACTTGGCGATCGCGATTACTGCACCACGATCGAGAGCAATATGGCACTCGAAGATCGCCGATTACAACTTAACTAAATGGCACCGCGATCGCAATCACCGCTTCGCAGTAAGTACAATGCCCCTGCGATCGCGATTACCAAACCGGGATCGTAGTCCTGACATATAAATCACGGATTTGACTTTACTAAATCAAGCCGCGATCGTGATCACCACGCCGCGGTAAGTACAATGTCGCGGCCATCGCGGATACTGTTTTTCAAAATCGCACGACCCCATAAGCTGCTTAGCGTTTAATATCATCGAGCTAAAATAAAAACTGTCTGTCTTCGCGATCGCAATCATCTTCTTGCGATCACGATCATTCCGCTGAGATCGCTATAACTTCGCCACGATCGCTCTATCTTCACCATCCTGACCCTGAGATCGCGGATAATATTTTTCTGAATCGCGCCGCGATCGTAATCTTCTTCCTGCGATCACGATCATTGGGCTGAGATTGTTATGACTTCGCCGCGATCGCGATTTCATCGCCAGCATCGCAATCCTAACCTTGGGATCGCAGATACGATTTTTCAAAATTTCGCCGCGATCGCGATCATCTTCCCGCGATCACGATCATCACGTTGAGATCGCTACAACTTCGCCGCGATCGCTCTATCTTCTCCGCGATCGCGTTCACCACGCAGCGATAAGTACAATACCGCTGCGATCGCGATTTCATCGCCAGGATCGCAATCCTGACCCTGAGATCGCGGATAATATTTTTCTGAATCGCGCCGCGATCGTAATCTTCGTCCTGCGATCACGATCATCTGGCTGAGATCGTTATAACTTCGCCGCGATCGCGATTTCATCGCCAGCATCGCAATCCTGACCTTGGGATCGCAGATACGATTTTTCAAAATTTCGCCGCGATCGCGATCATGTCCCGCGATCACGATCATCGCGTTGAGATCGCTATAACTTCGCCGCGATCGCGATCACCAGGCCGCGATCGCGATCACTACGCCGCGATCGCGATCATCACGTCGCTATTGCAAGCGCGATTTACTTCAATTGCATCGCGATCGCTGATATCGCGCCGCGATCAAAATCATCGCGCCGCGATCGCGATCACCGCGTCGCGATCGCGATCGCGATCATCACGTCGCGATCATCACGTCGCGATAGCGATCACCGCGCCGCGATCGCTATAACCTCGCCGCGATCGCGATCACCGCGTCGCTATCGCGGGCGCGATTAATCTAAATCGCGCCGCGATATGCACAATCGCGCCGCGATCGCTGCCATCGCTCCGCGATCGCGGTCATCGCGGCGCGATCGCTAATAAATTTTTACAAGGGTATAATAATTTAAAAATGAGTTATGAAAGTACTACATATTATAGAATGGAAAATGATACTCGATTTTTAAAAATATTTGAGTTGATTATGGAATTAAAAGAGAAAACAATTACACTTAATAATATTATAAAAGGTAATTATCTGTTTATATAGTAAAATGGAAGCTAAATTCTTTTCTGAAATAGAAAAAAAGATGGATGTTAAAACAATAAAAGATTTTGAAAAGGAAGTAAGGAAAAAATATATAATGAGTTAGAGACACTTAGAAAGGAAAATGATGATCTTTCTAGAGTACTAATGGTTAATGAATGTGAGATGTGGAAAAAAATAAGAAATGAGGGGTATTCTTGGTTGAATTTAAATATTGATAAAAAGAAGAAAGTTTATCGTCTTATTGACATTTACTCAAATTTTGTTGCCTTAGTTGATAGTGTTAAAGATCTAAATACAAAAGTTGAAAAGGTTAAACAGCTAAAGAATACACCGGTGGATAGTGAATAAAAAAAATATTATAATAAAGAAAATGGATGAGTTATGTAATCAGGCTAAATTAAAAGAGAAACGTAATGAAGTTATGACACAAATTGAAAACAATTTAATAGATCTTATAAGAAAAGATATATCAATATTGGAAGCAATTAAAGATTATATTGATGATGATGAAAATGAAATTAAATATGAAAGAGAATCTTATACATTACCTTCTCTTATTAATATTTATTGTAATTTGGTTGATATTGATGGTAGTCTTAATAATATTAAAGTTAGTAACTTTTGTTATAAAGTTTATGAAGAATTTTAAAAATAATATTTAATAAATATTATTTTTATCCTCCAAAGTATGCTTTGATAAAATCACTGTTGTCATCATCAAAATGTGGGTTATGTATTACATCTAGAATACTACTACCACGTCGTCTCTCAAATAAATAGTATAAACACCAATATCCACATAGAACAGTTTTTCGATTTTGTATTTCATCCATTGAGTAAAATATACGTTTTCCAGAAGTATGAAAATACTTTAATGCTTCATTTGGCATTATCAGTCCAAATGGATCAAAGTACTCAACTATATTGTCTATATTTCTATAACAAACCCAATGTGTTCCAGGGCCAGTCATGTCATTGAGATTTATTATTCCACATTCTTTACGCAACTTATTAGGAAGACCATCACGACTATATACTCCTCTAAAATGTTTAATACCAAGTCTTTTTATCCATTTCATAAGGTCAAAGTTGGACAGTGGTTTAATTACAAAATGGTTCCTAGAATGGGGATTGAGTTGAAAGGGCTGTTTTTTCCTAGAAGAAGACCTTTTCCTTTGGATTTGGTCTTTTTTTTTTAACTCCCATTCCTATTGGGTTTTCCCATGTACCAATAAAGGGTGGTGGAAAGTGATAAGGATAACCCTCACCATGTGTGGATGGAGGAGGACGTGGAACGTAAACATTTGCTGTATTTGATGATCCACGCCTATCAACCTGAAGTCCCCCACCAAACATCTTAGATACCAGACTAATTGCCATTGGAATTCCAATAGATGCAAGAGTTCCAAGAAATCCTCCTTCTATCTGTTTACGAGTTGGTTTGATAACCAATCGCCCACCTGATTGATAAGCTTTATTTAACAAATCTATTTTTGATTTATTTAATTCTCCTCTAATAGCGTGTATCATTGGGAAAAACTTTTTTGGAATTGTAATTCCTTTTCCAAATATTTTATTTAATCCTATTTCTCCAAGTGCAGTAGCAGCACCAGTTGCTAATGCAGGAACAGCTTTTGAAATTCCTTTTATTGCATATGGTAGTACTCGCGCTCCAATAGAAGCAAGTGATGAAAATAAGTTTCCACCATGTTTTACAGATTTTCTAATCTGAGTTTTACTTATTTTTATATCTGATCCTGTTCCATTTCTTATTGATTTTTTTATTTTATTAATTTGTCTGCGTGTTAGCATTAACTCATCAGAACCTTGAAGATGAGAATGTTTTAACCGAAGAGTTAGTGGTGATTTATTTAATATTGCAGAAGCCAATTTTGACTTTTGTCCATCTGTAAGTGTTACACCGTATTCAATATAAGTTGTCGTTTATTTATAGAATTATATTAAATCTAAGCTCTAAGCAATAGTTTTCCTCCTTGCTGTTCTATTTCTGCCACTCGCTCGTGAAGTACAATAGCGTAAATATTATAATCAGCGTTTGGATTAGCAGATAATTCGTAATGAAAAGCTAGTTTTGTTACTCTATCTTTTATATCCATTTTTTGTTTTGTTAGGTCAAAATAAACAAAAGGAAACAGAGATTCAAAATTTGTTCTATTGAGAAGAGTTCCTCCTTGAAAGTCGTTATTTGCGTAAACATATGACATTACTTCTCGGAACACTCTTGCTGGATCTGTAGCTGGTTTTAAGTGAATATCAGGATATTCATTTCCATTTCCAACCTCTAGATAACAGCGAGATATGTTAGCATTGTTTGGTAAATTAAAAGTGTTATATAAGAATGGATTTGCTGTTTGAGAATCAATATTAGCTGTGTTAATAGCAAAAACAAAGACATGGCGAGGTTTTGATATAGCATTTGTAATTCTAAATTGACCTGTTTGCTGTTGAGAGTTATTTGATCGCTCTACTACTTCATTAAGATAGATCCATTTGTAGGGCTTGAGATAATTTTTCATATATAACTCTTGTCCTTTTTTGTTAAATGTTATTCTTGGAACAAATAGTTGAAATCTTGTTAGTATAACTCTACAATCATTTCCACCAGTTCGCCAGATAAGATTACCATCTGATTCTAGTTCTATATTTAACTCAATTTTTGTATTTGGAAGAAGTTTATCATCTAATGATTCAAAGAAAGAATATCTGTTGAAGGGGATATCACAACTAATTGTTGATGAGTTGCCTATTAGTGTTCTTCTTATTGCAAAACCTTTGTTATAATTAGCTTCAACATCATCCAACATTAATCCTGCATCATCAGCGGTATTAGCAGAATTCCGTCTGTGAAGTACTTGCCTTTTTGTGTATTTATTTCCATTTACTATTCCTGATTCTGCTGATTGAAGGTTATTATTGTTAAAATTAGTTCCATTTAAAAGTTGAACTTTGAAATCTACTGAAAATCTTGCATTAAACCAATCAAACGGAGTGGCTTCACCTGTGTTATCAGCAACAAATCTATAATTTGTTTTAGTTTGGTGAGCATTATTAGCAGGCGTTTCTAATGCCTGTTCAAGATCAAAAACAACATCTTCATATCTTTCTAAATATTCTGGATTTCTAAATGACTTCATTTTATTTTAATAATTATATAATTTTCCCCCCACTCAAAATAGAATTCACTCTTGCATTTATTTCCTGTTGAGTTATTTTTTTGTTTGGAATTATTTTAACATTTTTATTAAAAGTAACTTTTTTAGTGGTGGGGGATTTAACCTTTTCTTTTGATAACATTTGCACTATCTTATCACCAGCCTTCTTACCAACATGTTCACCAGTTTTTGTTGCAGCTGCTGTCACTGCTTTTTCAACACCTTTTTTAGCAGCTTTTTTCATTGTCTTTCCAAATAATTTTGAACCAACTGATTTAAAAACATCTTTTATTCCTTCACCATAAATGGAGCGCTCACCGCTCCAAATATGTTGTCTTGTATATCTACCCAATACTGGGTCAAATCTCTTTTTAAACTCTGATTGTCGCCTCATTTTTATTTTAATAGTTATATTACATCGAGTGAAGTATTAAAGTCATAAACCAATCAATACCATTAAAATTAACCGGTCTACCAAGTGAGTCTGTCACATAGACTCTCATTTCATCAATGTGAAATGATGATAAAGGGCAATACAATGGTCTTTTAGGTTCGAAAGTAAATGGAAAAGACCTTGTAAGATTATCAGTTGGTATCACAGCAATGGTATTTGTATTTATTCCATTTACAATGCTATCAGTTATTGCGGTTGTGTTGATATTTAATACATCAATTGAATTTGTTATATTTGGTAGTTTTGTTCCATACTCTGTACTTGTAATAAGTTTCTTTTCAAATCAAATCAGGTCTCCAAATTCTGTTCCTCTCAGATCAAGTTGATAATCACCATCAAGTGATACTAACACTCGATAGGTAGATAGTATAAAAGTTAGATTGATTGAATAAGTTTTCTTTCCACCCGAATCTGTTGTGTGATGATTTTTTTGGTCCATGTATTGATGAATGTAATCATTAATATCAGAGTAGGAATACATTCCATCTGTAAAAGTAATTGTTTGCCAGTTGGTTCCATCGTGGGTGTATTTGATTTTATTGTTTTTATAATCACTCCTAATGTTGTACCAAGAGTAAGTCATAGACAACCGATCAAGAGCAAGTTGGTGTTTCATTTCAGGGTCAAGTTTAAGAGATGGATTAAACTTAATAGTAAAATCACCAGGTCTACTTGTTCCTCTTTTTCCCTATTTATTGAGGAAATGTGAATAGCTCGTTCTTCCATTTTATTTAATTGTTATATAAGTTTTTAGTAAATCATTAAGTTGTTTTTTTGTAATTACTTTCATTTGATTGAGAAGATGTGCTATTTGAGAAAACTCAGGTATTACACCATTATTCCCAGCAAGAATTGAACCACCAAGTAATTCAAGTCTGTCTAGAAGTTGATGTGGGTTGTTAAAGTAAATACCTTGCTGGGCCAGTCCTTCCCCCATCTTATATTTAAGCGATCTTAAGTAATCTTTCATAGTATTTTTATATTTCATTAGTGTTCCTTTTTCCATTTTTTTAATTTCAGTTTCAGTTTCATATAATGGAGATGGATTTTTAGCTTTCTTTCTACCACTAATTTCACCAGTTAGTTGTTTTATATTACCTTTTATATCTTCTAAATATTCATCTAAAGTTTTAGGATTAATTTCAAAAAAATCGTTTGGTCTTGGGTATCCAAATTCTTTTAATAACTCAAGATCTCTTCCTTCAAAGTTTTTTTCTAAATTTAACCTTGTATCATAAGTTGGAACTGGCCCCCAATTTACATCCCATCCTTCTTTGTTGTCATAGTCTTCTTCAGGATATGGTAATTCTCTCATATCAGCTAATCGGTTAAATTGTTCAAAACCTTGAGTAAGAGCAAGTTGATTTTTTTTAAGTTGTGCTATAGTTGCGTTTTGCTGCTCATCAATACTTTTTTTAATGCTATCTTGAGATTTAATAAGTGGTTTAAATGTCTCTTTAAAACCTTCCCGCATATTTTGTTTTTGCCATTTTGTTATTTTTATTACATCTCTAACCTGTTGAGTTAAAGTGTCAGCTTCAATTTTATTTCTTGCAAATTTTTTGACTTCTTCAATATCCATTTTATCTATTAATCAAATAAAATGGAAATACCAAATTATGATAGTGTTGATTACTCAAATAAAAAATACAAACAATTATTTCCCTTCATGCCATCAGACACATTTTGGATGTTAATCTGTGGAAACAGTGGATGTGGTAAAACTAATCTTTTGTATCATATGTTAATTAAACCACTGTTATACTATGATGAGATTTATCTTTACGTACGTAATCTACATCAGGATAAGTACCAAAACTTAATTCAAAAAATGAATGAGTTGAGTAGTAAAACAGGATATGAAATACTTCATGTGAGTGATGGTGAAATAATTCCAGTATCAGAATTGGAATACGAAGACAATCAAAAACTTGTAATATTTGACGACTACGTCTGTGATAAAAACCAAAAAAAGTTAATAGATTATTTTATGCAAGGTAGACATAAAAATTGTTCGGTGATTTATCTAAGTCAATCATTCTTTAAAACTCCATTCGAAATTAGAAAGGGATGTACTCACTACTGTTTGTACCAACCTTTATCAAAAGGTGATACTACCAGAATATCATCTGAATTAGGTATTAACAAAGAAGATCTAAAATCCGCAACAAGAAAACCATATTCATTTCTATATTTTGATAAACCCAAAAAATATATTGCTAAAAACTTTACTGGTAATATAATCTAATAAATAAAATGGGGATATTTAACGAACATATAGATAATTCATTTGCTAAAGGAATTCAAGGCGCACCAGGAGTGGGGTTTAATCTTACTTCAGATGGTGATTATGATATGATAAATAAAAAACTAAGAAATGTTGGCACACCAATTGTTAATACTGATGCTGCTACAAAGAAATATGTTGATGATAATTCTAGTGGTTCATTTGATGATAGTTCCCTTTTAAAATTGGATGGCACAAGAAAAATGACTGGAAATCTAGATATGGATAGTAACAAAATATATAATATACCAGCTCCAGATGGACCCAAACAACCAACACCATTAGCTTTTACAGATTTAAAATATCTTCACGTTACTGGAACAAATAGTATGTCTAATAATCTAAACATGAATAACAAAAGTATAATTTATTTAAAAGATCCAACAAACCTCACAGATGGAGCAAACAAAAGATACGTAGATAATACCCTTTTACTAATAATAATATAGCTATGAGAAATTATTTGAAAAAAGATGGTACTGTTACAATGACTGGTAACTTAAATCTTGGAAGCAAAAAAATAGTTAGCCTAGCAACTCCAACATCAAACACAG